TTTTTTTTTTTTTTTTTTTTTTTTTCAAAAAAACACCAAAACATAAGAAAAACCAATTTTATTAATTTCAAATTAAATCCGAGCTCAAGCATGATTTTTCCATCATGTTTTGAAAACCTTTAAAAGAAAGAGATGTAAAAAAAAAATTACAGATTTTTATTTCAGTAGGAAGCGATTTTTGGCACATCCTATGTATATTGAATATATTATTTCGTCCAAAAGTAGCTAACATTAATCAGTTAAGGGTTAAATAATGTCGAGCACGGAGGAAACGAGGTGAGAATCGAGGTTGCTCGTAAAGAGCTACGGGACGATTGCCCGCGATGAAGTTTATTTTCCAGCTGGCCGTTGGTAACGCTTTAGCTATCTATTTGGTCGGTTGGTATCTAGCCGAAGCCACGGTACGCTCGGCGATGTCGCTTTTAATTCGGTAAGAAAGTGGGTTTCTGGGTCGGAGAGCCGTGATGCACGGAGCAGCCGGCGAGCACCACAGGCAAACAGCTTCACACGACTTTCTTCGAGCCCCAGTGCTGTATCTTTCGCGACAACCCTGCTCTATACTCTATACGTATATACTCTGTGTACGTAAATGCATGCATACATTCGTATTTTATCCTTGCATCGCATTCCTCTATGCTGCGCATATCAATTGTTTATACGTGTATTTGACTGTGCCATGAGATTGCGAACATTCGTCATATTCAAGTGACTCATCCCTGCATAAGGAGAAACGCCACCGTGACACGTCCTTGAATCTTTCGAGCCGGTTAATTCATTTGCGTAGCAACCATAAATATCATCGTAGCTGATCTACGTTGTTCTACTTACTTGAAGTCACTTTCAACTGGGTCTGTGCGAAATTATTTTTCACGCTGTGTTTATTCGTACATTTTTCTTTTTTTTAATTGCATTCGCAAAAATGTGAACTTGGCTTGAACTGTTAAAATGATCGTTAAAAAAACGACGGACTTACGATTAGATTAGATATTTTATAGATAGTATAAGTAAAAGCCTGTAAACTCTTATGTCAAAATTTACATAGTATAGTATATAATACATGGCAGTTATAATTATCATATGTTACATTATAGTATTGTATAATATATTATACACTACAGTACATTATAGTGTACTATAGTTTTTGTTTCTCAGTGTCACAGATGGAAACATCACGACAATTCTAGTGTTAAATATCCAGCTTGTAGTTTTGCAACGGAGAACAATTTCTGTGCTAATCAGTCACGATTCGTGCGTCAAACACGCCAGTCTAATTCACCAGAGAGAACAGTTCAAAAAGATACGTAGTCGAAGAAGGCTGTCTTCAGGCGTCTCGGCCGAAAGTGAAAAGAACAGAGGACAAAAGACGGATAGGAAATGGGTAGGAGACACACCGTATTACCTTACAAGTTCCAGGCCGTTTCGGAGAAACGCACAAACAGCGGCAGAGACATTTTTGCCGAGAGTGAAAGTCCGTTGGTTTCGACGGGGCAACGTCAGCTTTTACGTTCCCCCACTCACTGGCCGTGGAATGTACCGCGCCGTTCCAAAGACACTCTCGCGCCCGATTTAGCCTTACGTAAATCCGACGCAATGTTATTATGTAGGACTCACGCCCACGGGTTAAAGTGCATTAGCTGCAACGCGCGTCGAGTACAGTACACCGATGAATGGCGGCGCGAGTTCGATAGGGGACGTGCGTCCCGCGA